GCCGGTGGCGGGCTTGGTGTTGGCCACAGAGGTGGAAGTGGGAAGGGAAAAGATGGTGGTGGCGGAGTTAAGAAAGGAATCGGAGGGAAAGGGAATGGAAGAGATGGTGGACTCGGAAACAATGGAGGGAATGGAAGAGATGGTGGACTCGGAAACAATGGAGGGAATGGGAAAGGAGGAGGCCATGGGAAGCCAAACGGTGGAAAGGGTGGCCAAAAGAACAAACAAGCGTTTGGAGTTGAAGAACTTTCCGTTTCTGCGGTTAATTTAGTCCCACATGAGGTGGAATACTTCTTGGCTGGCCTATAACTAAGCGCATTGAGGTTATATAAGCAAGCATGCATCCCTTCATTTTTCACTGCAATGTGCTCTGCTGAGCTCTTTATGCAGGGGACATCACATGACAAGGATGAGCTCGAAACTAGAGTTGCTCGACAGAAGGACTCGGGTTCTTGGCCCTCGGTGCAGACGAACCCATCGACTGGCGGGATATCGAGTTTATAGACTCCAAATCGGTCTGTGGTTCGATCAACCGTGATGGACATTTCACCATTGGGGTTGGAGTTTGACTTCAGCTTGCAGTCTACATGCACCTTGGCACCTGGTAAATAGGAGAAATAAGCAGAAGTTTTAGCACAAATGATCACGGAAGCTTGGGTTGTTCATATAATTAAAATGGTTGCAAATATGAAAAGACAGATCTCAAAGGGATATTTCCTCTGCACTGCTCTGCAGAAATAAGCCAAAAACTTTTGCTTTTGTGGCGATGAATGCAAAATTATCTTTTAGATGGGTGTATATGTAAGTTGCATACCTTAATTTCATCGGCATTCAACTTTTACATGAAAGCACTTTTTTTTTCTTTTTTTTTTCTTTCCATTTGAGAAATCTGTACATAAAAATATGACGTAAGAGGTGCCATGCTTGTAAACTCAATAGCAATATTCTTCTTTGGTTGGGTTAGCAAAACTAAGCAATACTCGTTCTAATGCCAAATCACTTCGGTAACGCCTTGAGGAATTTATCCTTTATGTCATATATATACGAGGAATATGGGTATGTTTGGTACCAAACACAAAATTTGTGCCTGGTAGTGAGGTGACATATTATCCTTCACTCATTCAAATGTGAGGACCACATTCACATGAGTTGAATATGATCCCCCAATTGAATGAGTGGATGGGAATGAGACACCTCACTACCAAGCACAAAATTTGTGCTTGGTACCAAGCATACCCATTTCTCTCTCTCTCTCTCTCTCTCTATATATATATATATTATTTATATATATATATATATATTATATATATATATATATATATAATATATATTATATATTATAATATATATATATATATATATTATATATATATATAGAGTAAAATCCTATCAACTTAAGTGGACGTCCACTAAGTTTCTTATCCATGATGATTACTTGATTGAGCTACATTGTAGATGATCCGCTCCGTTGAACTTGATCTACATATTCTAAAACCCCAACACACCAAATTTGGGGTGAACCTGTTGTGGTTTGACCCTCATCCACTCGTATCAATTTTAACGGTTTCGCAATGAATAGAACTTTTTACATGGCTTGACGGGAGGGTCAAACAACGACGGCGTTCACCCCAAATTTGGTATGTTAGGGTTTTAGAATATATAGATCAAGTTTAACGGAGCGGATCATCTATAATGCTAGCTCAATCAAGTAATCATCAATGGATAAGAAACTTTGCGCACGTCCACTTAAGTTGATAGAGTTTTACTATATATATATATATTATATATATATATATATATATATATAATTATATATTAACAAGCTCTGGAGAAATAATCACTTATTGTCATGCTGATGTATCTATGTGTGTGCATGTGTAAATGTGCACATACAAGCCCCATGGAAAAAATCGAAATGCACCTAAGTCTCTTGGGGCAAACAGCCACTTCCCATATATGTTATTATGGCTGAAAGTTTTGTGTGAGTTCGTGATGACTCAAATTAGTTGAGGAGGAGGATTGAGTTTGGACTCTAATTAGGATTAGTACTAATCCTAATTAGGATTGGATTGAAGGAATTAATTGAATTGGGAAATCCAATTAGGATTCAAGTTAGAGTTCTAATAGGATTGAGCAAAATCAATCCCTCTCTATATATATTATATTAATCCATGAGTTTAAATAATAATAAGAAGAAACAAGAAAAAAGAGAAATCTATATTCCATCATTGTTAGGGGTGTGTAATTTCAACATCTTGTAATCTCTTCTCAAAAGAAATAAGATCTTCCCCATTCTCCTCGTGGACGTACACGGATCATCTTGATCGAGTGAAACCACGTTAAATCTTGTTGTTTGCTGTTTGTCTTGATTGCTTAGTAGATTTGGGGTTTCTTGTGAGTTTAAGTTTTTCTTCCGTTGCTCGAATACTCCAACAATACGTAGCTCTGCCGCTGACTCCTCATCTTCTTGAAGGACACAAGGGAAATCCAGATTGATTATGGCTTGACCACAAAGTAGACATCAAGAGTTGATGTCAGATCACCATGTTTTCCTCTCATCGGTCTAAATCTCTAATCTATACAAGCTACGTATACGGTCCACGTCGTTGGATGAAAAGTGATGTCGTTGATAATAGGATGAATGAATGATTGCTAGACCTATGACGAAAAGTATCCAAATCTATAACATCTTCATAATTAATATGAAAAGTGATGTCCATAATTTTCATCCATTAATATGACCTGTGTCATTGCGGGCATCATAGAATTCCATATACACCCTTTGGTTGGATTTTATGCTTCTACTATCAGAAAGTTAACATAGCTTCTCTAAATATCGAGTATTAGTCCTTTTATAATCGTCAAGTAGACAGATAGTTTCTTTTTTCCCATATAACTTCATTACAGATTTAATTGACTTGCACATATAAGTATCGTATCGGATTCTTCCTGCTTACCTTGTCCCTCTCTTTTTTTTCGCAGGATAAAGAAGATTTCTAGCCCAAACAATGTATGAGGTAAGCAAAGGAGTGGGGAGGCTTCCATTTATTTGTAGATGTGATGAATACCAAAACAGTGATCCAGATAAAAAGAAAGGTTCGCCAATAATTTCCTTCTAGGAAAGTGATGGAGATTACAAAAAGGAAAAGCACCATCTATTATGGAAAATTTGACATGGGCATTTATTTTACCTTCTCTGTCATTGAAAGATACCGAAACCAAAGATATTGAACACCTTTAATTTGGGATATATATATAAATATATTTTAATGTTGTTATATGCATATATGAAAGTCTACAAAGTTTCAAGAGCTAGCAAGAGATGTGAAGAGACAACTGATTTACCTTGTATGAAGTAGCTATGCTTGGAGAAAGTATTGTTGGAGCAAGCATCACAGAAGACGGTACCGATAACTGTAATATTCTTTACGGGCTTCTTCTCAGTCTCAAGGGAGAAAGATTGTAAAAATAGAAGAGCTACAACTACAAAAAAGAGCATGAAGAGAGTTCTATTGTTCATGGTGATAGTAGATGAATGTAATTTGGAGAGAGGGAGGTTCTTCAGAGAAATTTTGTGTGAGGGTCATGAAAGCATTTGGTTTGTGGTTGTGTAGATGGGAGATTTATGAGATTGAAGATTCTTATAGTACATTGGCCCGTGAACTAAGTAAATCAATGGAATGAGAAAGAAAAAGAAGGGCACTAAAGCTCACATGAAACAAAGGCATGTGAATGCTTTTTGGTTGTATTTGATTGTTTACCTTTTTTTTATTTGTTTTGTTCACGGGTGTTAGTTGCTCAATGATATGGAGAGAGAATTACAATTGTTTATCTCCTGAGTAAGAACAAGGGATGATGATACGAGAGATGGAACAGAAGACTTTTGAGCATCTGAGTGTCTCTTGTATGGACTCGCTATTGAGCATTTGATGACATGCTTAATTTTTTTACTTTATCAAAGCACATGTAACTGATATTGAAATTATGGGGTCAGAATCAAATGTGTGTTATCTATCTCATGCTGCGCTATGAAACATGTTTCTTTGAAAAGGTTGTTAAAAGATGTGATCTAGACATGATTTAGAGTTTGGAAGTTGTGCTCATTTGGAAGTATAAATGGTCTTTGTGAGCTAGCTTAAATCTAGTGAAGCCTTGTGAGTTAATCTAGACATGGTTTAGATTTTGGATGTGTGCTCACTTAGGCATTGCCTAGCCTATTCCTATGTTGAGTCTCAACTTTTCCTCATGATAGCTACAAAACATAAGTGAGGTGAGATCTAGGACGTTGGTATAGAATATAGAACTTATTAAGGGCCTCCTTGGTTAGGCTTTAAGCCATACAAAATGGGAAAACAATAATTAGGGAAACTCATTTCCAAATTTAATTTACTTTTTTATTATTTGGTTGACCAAAAAAAGGGAGAATATGGTGTTTGTGATCCGCAAAAATGGTAAAACGAGCCCCTGAAATGGAAGCTCTTTTTAAAGGTTTTTTTCGTGAAAATGGGTGGAAAACACAAACTTACGACCTGCAATCACGTGGACTTTGGTTAGGCCAAACTACTAATACAAAATGTTAGCATTTAAAACATATGGTTTAGCAACTAGATAGACTCATTGCATGTTTGTCAATTGTGATCTTTCATACGGCATCGGGAACACTTAACAGGATGGGTGTTCAGCGATATGTTGTTATGCGTCTGGTACATGGCCTTCCATGTCTTTTTTAGTAAGGGAGGCTTTAACCGACAGTCTTCTGGATATACAACACGCTTCTCGTAATTTGGAATAGAAAAGAGGATGGGTTCATAACTTACTATGAATGCTTCAACAGTCACAAACAAATTAGAACATTGATAAATATATCATCTTATCCAAGTAATTGCAGCACGAGTGTGCTTATAAGGCATGCGTGTGATATTCCAAGACCTGCATGAACATGTTTGATTCTTCAAATCTACAGGGTATGTTTTATTAGATTCAACCTCCACAAATATCTTCTTTTGAATATTTAATATTAACGCAACGCGGAAGTAGTAGCCTTGGAATCCACCAAAGAAAATCTTTGAATCCACGAAGAGCTTCGAATCCACGAAGAAATATTAAGGAAAAAATAAAATTTTATTAATCAAAAGTTATGGCTCTAGGGCTTACAAGACTCTTCTTAAATAGAAAAAGAAATAAGACTCCTACAAGGACTCAAACTCTACCAAAAATAATAAAAGAATTCCTAAAATATTAAAACTCCTAAAAAGACTCATTATTACTAGAAAAGTCCACCGGTCAAATATGAGATCAAATCGAATTTGTTTTCTAAACAAAACAGACTCCTAAAATATTACTAAAAAAACGAATAAAAATGCAAATATCTCTCAAATCGTAAGGAATTTGGCAAAACGGAGAATGCAAACCGAACCCAAAGGGGTCGGCTTGGATGGCTCCGTCTCGTCAAGATAGTTGATTTTCATATATAATTTGTCGCATTCCGAAGTACGGTTCGAAAGTTATGACTGTTTCTTCGAAACTAGTTATTTTCTTCGACCAGGCCAGCATTTGGGATTGCGACTGCCCCACTTTGACATAAACGCGTCTGCTGTGTGTTCTACATCAAATATGCAAACAACTTCTATGATGAATATTATCACTCAACATATTTCTGCTTCAGGAAATAAGTATCTAGACCATTTTGCAGCCATAAGCCTTCTTTCATGCATGCGCTCCATAATTTGCTTTCGTATCATCTCCACCAAAGATAAGATTCGTAACATTCTTGTCTTTCTTATCCAATTGTTGAAGGACTCAGCAACGTTCGAGGTAACATGGTCATACCCAAAAATCACATGAAAAAAATTCATAAGTGTGATAAGTTAACTGTAACCTTAACAAGTAAGACATAAACATAACAACGAAGCCGTAACCTTAACAACCAAATCCTAACCTTAACAACCACTACCCTACCTTAACAACCACTATGTAAACTTGACAACCATTCTCAAAAGTTAAAACCTACATATAACCTTAACAACTTTGTAACCTTAACAATAAAACTGTTACCCTAACAACTAAGTCGTAACCTTAACAACGACATTGTATCCTTAAAAAGTAAGATGTAAACATAACAATTAAGCCATAACCTTAACAACCAAACCCTAACCTTAATAACCACTATGTAAGCTTGACAACCAATCTCAAAAATTAAAAACTACATATAATCTTAACAACTATGTTGTAACCTTAACAAAAAAACTGTAACCTTAACAACTAAGCCGTAACCTTAACAACGAATCTGTATCCTTAACAACTAAACTGCAACCTTAAAAACTAAACTGTAATTATAACAACTAAACTATAAAATAGTATCATACTTTATACCAAGGAAGTATGTGTTTGCCCATCTTTCTGGAGAGTAATTCACTGCAGTCACATAAGCTCTTTCAGATATCAAGGCCAATTCTTTCATGTTATCATCCCATTCGACAATTGTGCACTTATAAGTCGCGGTTTGTAATAAATCACACAATATTTGAGTGACTTTGTTTTGTGACCCAACCCCTTCATCTTTTTTTTTTTGAAATTCTCGACTAGATGTAGAACACACCTTGAATGGAATGTATTTGGAAAGAATTCCTTGATTGCTACCCTAATATTGTAAGCCTTATCATTGTTACCGAACAGGTCCCTCTGTGCTCTCTCTTTGCTTTGCCATGCTTTGCAATAACTAATATTGATGTCGTATTGTGAGAGCAAGTTGTTCTTGATATCAATTGGACGAAGATCTGGCCTTACCTTCAAAACAATTTGTATATGGCTTACAATGTATTTGCATGATGCCCTTGAGTTAACAGCATTAGCTCCATGTTGACCGCAAGTGCGAGTAGCTTCAAATAGCTTTATAGACATAATTGAGGAATTACGGAGTGCGCAAGCAAACAACATCCAAGGGCAATCCAGCGTGTCCTTGAATCGGCAATGCGCTCTCATACGTTTTGGTTCATTATGGTAAAAATCATACTCGAACATTTTGGCAATTGAGTAGTATTGAAGTGCTAATCTAACTTTGGTAGCACTACCAAATTTCTGTCCATTTGCACGTATGGCCGTGTGCCACTCAGTTAGGGTGTTGGTTTGGCTATTAACCATATCCTCTATCATCATGATCGAGTCGACAGTGGGATTGCCATTAGGATTACACTTATCATTACATGGTTGGATGAGCATAGGAATTGTGCATCATGAATTTTTTATTGGGATAGTTCTGAAAAAGTGAGTAAAAATGTTAATTATTACCTATCTAAAAAAGTTAACAAATGACTCGCAAGTTAACAAACAACTCGCAAGGTTAACAACCAACTCGTAACCTTCACAAATAACTTAAAACCTTAACAACCAACTCAAAAATACATAAAAATCTACTAAAGTTAACAATCAACTCGTAATCTTAACAACCAACTCAAAACCTTAACAACCAACTTATAACCTCCACAACCAGCTCATAAGGTTAACAACCAACTCATAACTATATACTAATGTTTACAATCAACTCAAAACCATAGCATGCAACTCATAACCTCTACAACCAACTCATAACTATATACTAAAGTTGAGAATCAACTCAAAACCGTAACAATCAACTCAAAACCGTTACAACCAACTCATAACCTTCACAACTAACTCATAACTATATACTAAGGTTGACAATTAACTCAAAACCGTAATAACCAACTCATAACCTCGACAACCAACTCATAAGGTTAACAACTAACTCATAATTATATGCTAATGTTGACAATTAACTCACAACCATAGGATGCAATTCATAACCTCCACAACCAACTCATAACTATATATTAAGGTTGACAATCAATTCAAAACCGTAACAACCAACTCATAACTTCCACGACCAACTCATAACCTCTACAATCAATGCAAAATAAATTAAAATTAAAATGCTTACACATTTCCTGGCGAAGTTTGGGTGTTATGAGAATTCCCCAGCAGAGGTAGCATATATCTATAAATCTATAAATCTATTACGACGACGATACCCAAACATCAATTTCAAGTCCTCGTTATTTTCAATTGTAAAACTAAATGTAGGCATCGAAAAATTGCCTATAGGTCTCCACGAACGGCTCAGTGTTAAGAAAAGATGATGAACATCACTATCCAGTTTACAAAAGCTTGATTGATGTCGACAAACGCTTGAAGTGAATCGACGAACTACGTGAAGCATTGGAGTTCCAGAATAACGAGGATACGAATCGATCGAGAGCCCCGCGTCGCCTACAAAAAGCGCTACGCCCCTCGTGTCCCAGTTGATTCCATAGATGATCTAATCATTGGAGCTTATAGAACTTTTCGTCAGCTTTCCAACGCACTTGGAATCACTCAAATCCGAGTTCGGACGAAGAATTTACAGCGGAAACGGGCAAATACACTATAACGGAGTGTCTTGGACCAACGAGACACCCTAAGGTGTCTCGGCTAAGTCCGAGACACCTTTGGGTGTCTCGGCTCAAGTGGAGACACCCTGGGGTGTCTCCAACGCAGAATTGGGCCTTTGTGTGATTTTAACCGCCCGGAACCCCTCAAGCCTATAAATACAAGCCTCAGACCCTCATTTTTTCAGATCTGAAATTTTGGAGAATAGGCGAAGCCCTGCCGGATTGAAGACTAAAGGTGTACGAAT